CCTGAAGCTAAAATAGCCCATTAGAGTTATACAGTTAGACTGGAATAACTGGCTCTTACAGTCCTGTCTTCATCACTCATTGGACGTGGAACCCCAGGGAACTTGCTCCATTTGGGGGAGGGGGCAGCATTTTTTTTACAGTGGAGGAATCTCTGATGAAGGTGGCAGCTGAAAACCAGGTGATCTTTGATGGGGGTTTTGGGTGGTGCCTGGCTGTGTCCATCACAGCTTTATACAGAACATTTACATGAATCACTCATTAAAAAGGTGGTTTTGTAACTGGTTACTGTAGTTAAGAACAAGATATATTTTGTAGAGCAAATAGAGTTGCTACAACCTAATATTTAAATTTTTTAAGCACATGGGGTGCACTAGCTAAGTGCTTGACTGCTAACCAAAAGCTGTGTTCATTTGAACACATCTCAGTGGGGAAAAAGAGTTTGGCTGCCATAAACATTACAGAAAGCCATTTATGGCAATTCAATTTTGTTAAAAGGATCAGCATGAGTAGAAACACTCAATGGTGTGTAACAATGCAGTTATAATTAATATTTAATTAAGGAATTGTGAGAAAATTATTGCATTCTCCTGCATAGGGAGAAATACTTTGTAAGTGGGATAAAAAGTTATTGAAATAATTAAATATTAATTTGGTTATCATCCTTAGTTATGTATTTTGCATGTTTGGTTTTTCAATATTGTTATTGTCCTTGAGTTGTTATGTGCTGTTGAGTCGCCTGCAACTCATAGTGGCCCTGTGTACAACAGCCCTAAACCCTGCTCTATCCTGTGCCATTTTTATATTCTCTGACACACCTACCCCCATTACCCCAGTCACTGAATCAATCCAGCACATAAAGGGTCTTCTTCTCTTGTGCTGTCCCTCCACCCTCCCAAGCACGGCATCCCTCTCCAAGGACCAGTCCCTCCTTGGACCATGTCCAAAGTATGTCAGATGAAGCTTCGGAATCCTTGCTTCTAAGGAGTAGCCTGGTCTCACTCTCTCTAGGCTGAATTTGTTTGTTCTCCTAGCAGCCCAGGGTGTACTCAATACTCTTCTACACCACAGCTCAAAGGCATCAATTCTCCTTCTATGGTTTTAAACATTAATTTCACACCACTTAGTAACTAATTGGCCAGAAGTTACAAGACAAGTAATTCAAGAAGAACAACAACAATAACAAGAATCAAAATGTGTCTCAAGACCAGAAGTTGCTGGAAATGTTTAAGGTGAAAAGGCATCACTTGTTTTCCTTGTCCCTTCTTCTCATTTTACCTTTTGTTGTTGCTTTTATTGTTGTTTGGTATGTTCGGTGGAGTTGGAATCAATTTACAGAAGACTCATCAGTGGGTTCGTGAGGAGATTGCTGGTCTTTCTTCCATAAGCACCTGGTGAATTTGAACCTCTTACCTTTGGGTAATGGAGATAGGTGTGTCAGAAACAATAAGATCCGGCACATGATAAAGCAGGGTTTAGGGCTGTTGTACACGGGGTCACTATGAGTCGCAGGTGACTTGATGGCACATAACAGCTACAACCACCGCCTTTGGGTTGACAATCAAAGCCTTATGTTTTAGAAAACATTACTTACGCATTTGGAAGCAGAATAAAATCCCAAGACAGTAATTATTTTCAACAATGCTCTAATTCTGGTCCAAAGAAGAACTAACTTTCGTTGCTAAATTCAGAGTAATCCTGTGCATGTGTTTAATGTCAGTTTCCAGAAGATGGCACTCTTGCTCCTCAATAAGGAACTTGGAGGCTCTGAAACCCAACAACCTATGAGTAAATGGAAGAGCTCGCTTGGAAAGAGTATAATAAAGAAGGCGCCTGCAGCTTGTTTATCTGAACTGATTGAGATGCTTTACATGCAGGTGCAACTAATTCTTTCAAGATGTAATGAGGCTCAATAAATCCTCCTCCTGCAATATCTTCGCAGGTTTTTGGGGTTGAATTTGCTTTTTGTGAGATGGAAAGAGCAGAGTAGATCAGCACCCCACAGTATGTTTAAGCAATAAGCTTTCTGCCCCATTGTCTCATGGCAAGCTGACTGGGATGCAATTTCCTTTTTCCTGTTCTTAAAATTAGCTGATGAGAGCAAGGCCCCCTCCAGGTGAGCTTACATGCTCCCACTCACCAGTATTTCTTTTTTTTCCACCAGAAGTAGGTACTCAAAGAACCATGCCTTCAAAGTTGTTATTCTCAACTTTTTGTACAAGGGAATTCACTCGACCACTATATATTCTCTTTCTAGAGCTCTGGTGGCCTACTGGCAAGAAGCTGTGCTATAATCCCAAAGGCACACGGTTTGAGGCCTTCCGTGGGAGAAGGATGGGCAATCTCCTCCTGTGCAATGAACTGCCTCTGAAAACCTGCTGGAGGCTCATCTATGGGTCAGTTCCGACTCTATGGTACACTACAACAACAACATATCTACCACTGGGTCTTATTAGTAGAACAAAGCATTTATTTGTTCTTCATTATCATCTTAACAATTGTATAAATTATGAGGCTATGCATTTAAGACTTTCATAGTGATTACGAAGATTCCAAAGAACAGCATTCAATTATTTATGCAGACAATTAACTATGTTTGTTTATTTATCTAATTAAAGATAGTTCACATTTCTTTCAAACTGGACGTCCATCTAGTGACCATGATTTCCAGTCATCATTTTTTTCCAATTCTTAGAAATTGTAGAATCTCAGATAAAATTAACTAAGACTACTAGAGGCAAGGGTTTTGACACTTTGTCTCACCGACTTTGGGCATAAAGCAGGAGGGACCAGTCTTTGGAGAAGGACATCATGGAAGGGTCGAGGGCAGTGCATGAGAAGAAGACCCTGGAGGGGATGGATTGACACAATCATGGGGTAATGAGGATAGATGTGTCAGAGACAGTGAGATTGGCTCGGGATAGAGCAGAGTTCAGAGCTATTATTGCACCTAGGTTGCTATGAATCATTGTTGACTAGATGGCACCTAACAGCAACAACAAATGCTGTTAATTAAATGTCTTTCTGTGAGCAGTAGTAGAAATAATAGAGCCATTGGACTTCTACAGATTATTGTTATTTCAAGACACGTATCATATGCCCACTGATAAGCTCTGAGTCTCAGCTCTTCCCTGTACTTCAAGTTTAGAAATTAGTAGCTGCTCATGATAATGGATGGGGAAAAAAATGTAGAGACCTTCCAGTCATGAAAATTACTTCGTATTGACATCTACCTCCTTCAACACTCATCTTTCCTTTTGCTCACTCATTCATAGCTAATAGTGACTGGACTGTTTGGTCTAGCAGCACAATATGCCCGCTCCAGTTTCCCCCTCTCTAACTGTGCAGTGGAGCTCAGGTGACCTAGCCCCTAGGATGTTGCCTTGCTGGAGAAAGGCCTATCTGGCAGTTAACAATCCAAACACCTCTGACTGTTCGAATTCAGTACCTGCTCTGTCAGATACAGAGGATCAATCTCCTCTCAATAAGGCTAACAATTTTGGAAACTCAACAGAGGGTCACTATGTTCAAATTTTAGACAGATTTTTTAATATCATAATGTGCATCATAGATATACTTTCACCTATTAGGAGACTATGTGAATTTAAATTCGCATTATTGATACTTTTTCATAAAGATTTTATCCTTGGCCAAATTTTAACAACATTTGAGTTGTAAAAAAATCCTGACCCAGGAAATACCACGAACAAATTATATCATAAAATCTGAGTGTGAGGCTCAAGCCTCAATGCCTTTTGAATAAATTTCAACACAACAATGATTGCTACTCACTGTTTCACGGGTGTTATTTCTCCTCTTCTGTTGTTTCTCTTTGAAGGTGCTATTGCTAAGGTCATTTCATTGACTCTGAACACACCAGTTTTGATTTATTGAAGCGTTCTTGTTTTGTCTTTGAATGTCTAGATATTCAATGGGTTTGGCTAGTTGAGGGTCTCAATCTGGAAGTACAGGTAGCTCTATCATTCATTGGTCTTTTAACTTAGTTTAGTTTTCAATAATCATGTAAGAAAGATAAAATTTGATTTCTCTTTAGAGATACCATTTCTTTTCCCTTTAAACCTATTTTCCAATTTTCTCCACAAAACCAGCTTGAAAAGCATATTCCATCTTCCTCCCTGGGTTGCTTCTACTTTGAGACAAACTCTAATGTTGTAGTTTGTATTTGTGGAGGTGGGCTTAGGATAGGGAATAGAAGAGCAGCAGGGAGTGTAAGCAGGCTAATTCCCTTTGTGAGACTCCCAAATAATTCTACCTTGACTGTTCCAGCTCCTTTCCATAGCACTATGAATGACATCCAAGTCCCGTAAATTACATTTATCTGTCATGAACTATAACTATAGCCATTTTTTTTCTTCTTTTGGTCTCTCAGGTATTCCTTGTAATTTTAATCTTCTGAAATTTCCTTCAAATTTTTGAGCATTGTCTTATAATGACTTAGTTTAAAAATGTCAGCAGTTTACTCTTAAACAATTCAAGAGTTAAAGGCACAAAGCACTCATGGAATTAAAAGAAAATTTATTTAAAACTTTTTTTCCAGTCTATTTACTGATTTTTTTTCCCCCTTCTAAAACCTTTTTTTTTCTATTCACAAAGGAAAAGCTCCAGTCCGTCTTTTAATTTTTTTTGAAAAATTCCTGACATTACAGAACTAAACTGAAATGTATTAATATTCCACTCTTACATATCCATGACAAACAGGAAAAAAATTTCATGAGCAAAAAAAAAAACCCAAAAAACAAAACAACCAAAACAGGTAGAAGCTTATAAAACTAAATATGGATCTCAGCATCAACAGCTGAACAGAGAAAGGAATTAAAACGCTTTAATTAAAAAAAAAAACACGAGTGGATGATAAAGTGTAGAAACTGAAAATTTACAAACTATTTAAAACCTGGAATCGCTGACTGTTCAGAAACTACACAGATGGATCATGGGTGGTGGTGAACAGCAGAAAAGGGATTATGGATGAATCTGCATTGTTCTAGCTGCTCCCCATGCCACCCGTCTCCGAGGAAAGCCTGACATTGATTAGATACTGAGCCAGGCTAATGCTGGCAGCAGATCCAGTGATGGTAACCTGCCTATCAGTAGATCCTTCCACTGGGTTCACAATTTTGATCTGCGCCCCAGACATCTGACGGATCTCATTGATTTTGGCGCCTTGACGCCCGATTATGCAGCCAATCAAATCATTTGGAATGGTGAGTTCATGAGAAGTAGTCTGAGCAGATGCATCTGAACCTGCCCAATAGCCTTTCACCTCTGGAGAGCTGGATTCAATGCCACTGAATCCGGTGTTGCCATGCGTCATAGGAAAATGAGACTGTTGCATTGCCAACTGATGCAGCTTGGTCAAATCTGGCTGTGGAATGGCATACTGTCCTTGAATGGTATAGGCCTGACCACCTGCAAAGATGACTGGAGAACTGGACGGCTTGGGCCGGTACGGGATGGTCACGCCCTTCGGGGGGGACTGGGAGAGAGTCTCCAACATGACCACGCAGATCTGTTTGACACACTCAATGATGGATTGCGGAATGCCAGCGATAGTGATGGCCCGCTCAGTTGAGTTGGGGAGCATATCCCCCGCCACCTGGACCTGAGCCCCTGTACTCTCTCGTATTTCCTTGATCTTGCAACCACCTTTTCCAATGAGAGAGCCACACTGACTAGCAGGAACCACCAGCCTCAGGGTTACTGGAGGTCTACTGGAAAAATATGGAACGCTTCACGAATTTGCGTGTCATCCTTGCGCAGGGGCCATGCTAATCTTCTCTGTATCGTTCCAATTTTAGTATATGTGCTGCCGAAGCGAGCACCCTTCTAAAACTTTTGATTCCTAGACTTTATTATCTGCTGACTTTGAATTTACAGGTCACATAAATAGTTGTGGACATTTATTTTGTGAGATAGATATAGACATAAATATAGATATATAGAGGTAGCTTGGGAAGACATAGTGAAGTATTATATTCTTTAAAAGTGTTCAAAGAGTTGGAGTCAGAAAATCAAAAGGGTTGAACTCATCCAGCATTTCTTAAGCTGAAGAAACTGAAGAACAAATTCAAAGCTCAATTTCCAATACTTAAGGATGCTATGGGGGAAAAATTTTTAATAAAAGGGTATTATGGGTAGAATACTGAACGATCCAGGAAGCATCAGAAAAAGGTGGAAGGACTACATAGACTGATTGTACAAAAGAACTGACCAAAAGAGAAGTATTTAATAAGATAATTTATGTTTAAGAGACTATGGTGATGAAAGAGGAAATTCAAGCTGCTCTGAAGGAATTGGCAAAAATCAAGGCCCTAGAAGTTAATGGCATACGGATTGACATATTTCAGCAAACAGATGCTGCCCTGGATGTGCTCAGCAGGCTGTGCTAAAAATTCTGGAGGACAACTACCTGGTCAACTGACTGGAAGAGATAGATCTGTCTTTATTACCATTTCAAAGAAAGGTGATCCAACAGAGTGTGGAAATTATAGAACAATATCAATAATAACACATGCAATCAAGATCATGCTGAAAATTATCCAAAAATAAATGGAATGCTACATAGTTTACCCGAAATAAAATTTGATTTAGAAGTGGTCATGGCATCAGGCACTTCATTGCCAATGTTAGTTAGATAGATCTTGAAAGAAAGTAGAGTATTAGAGGAATATATATCTGTGTTTCATTGATTATGCAAAGGCATTTGACTGCATGGATCATAACAAATTGTGGCAAACCTTGAGAAGAATGGGTATCCCAGAACACCTGACTATGCTCATGCGAACTGTCATCTATACTTGGACCACCGGGAGGCAGTTATTGGAATAGAGTAAGGGAACACTGCATGCTTCAAAATCAGGAAAGGAAGGTGTCAAGGATGTGTTCTGCCTCAATATCTTTTTAATCTCTAGGCAGAACAGATCATTTGAGAAGCTGGACTTAATGAAGAGGAATATAGCATCCGAATTGGAGAAAGAGTTATCAACAAGCTGAGATATGCAGATGACACAACCTTACTTGTTGAAACTGAGGAGGGCCTGAAGCATTTGGGGAAGAGGGTCAAGGACAATAATTTGCAATATGGATTGAAGCTCGACATAAAGAAAGCAAAGATTCTCACCACTGGGCCCATTGGTAGCATCATGATAGATGGAGGAGGGATTGAGTTGTTAACAATTTCAGCTTGCTCAGTTCCACAGTTAACACTCTTGGATGATTTGTATTAGGAAAATCTGCTGTTAGAGACCTCTCCAGAGTGCCAAAAAACAAGAACGTCAGTCTAGAGACTAAGGTATACCTGATCCAGGCCATTGTCTTTGCAATTACTTGATATACATTAGAGAGCTGGACATTGACCAAGGATGAAAGAATTGATGCCTCTGAGTTGTGGTGCTGGAGAAGAGTATTGAATGTATCATAGACTGCCAAGAAAATTAACAGGTTGTCCTGGAGAGAGTGAGACCAAGCTGGTCCTTTGAGGCAAAGATTTTGAGACTCCATTTTGCATACTTTGGGCATGTAACCAGGAGGGACTAGTTTTGGGAAAAGAATATCAAGGAATAGTGTAGGAGATTGACACCATAATGAAGGTAATAAAAGTAGGTGTGTCAGATAGTGAGATTGGCTCATGCTAGAGCAGGTTCAAAGCTATTGTACATAGGGCTGTGAGCTGTAGTCAACTCAACAAACACATAACAACAACATATAGATAAACTGCACCCATATAGTAATTGCATTATTAGTCAATTCAGTTCATTGCTGCCAAATGAGAACCAAATCATAGATGGCTCCCAGGAGGTTTTCAGAAGCTGTAAATTACAGGGGAGGAGATTGCTCCTTTTTCTCCCATGGAGAAACTGTTGGATTCCAATCAACTGCCTTTGAGTTGGTTGGAAGGTAGCCCAATTCACCTACCCACTAGCACCCTACATTATCAGTACAAGATGGAAAAAAAAGTATTTTATGAAAAATGAAAGATATTTGTGTCTTCTGATGTAGCTACACTTCTGCCATCACTAGTTTTCTTTTTCAAGAATTTCTCATGCTGCATTAATTTGTGTTGAACTGGCAGGCAACTACAGCCCCAGATCTCAATCTACGGTGCCCATTAAACAATTTAGTGTTTTCTGGTAATGTTATCACTTTTCCTGGCTTCTTGGGAGAACTTCCAACATCACTGCTGGCACTTCCAGTGGATTGTGTGTTATTCAAGGTTTACAGTATTGTACTAAATATACTGGAAAAATGCACGAAAACTGCAAGAGACCAGTTTTTACCCCATTCACAGTTTACTGGAGAGACAGTTGCTTAGAAGGAGGGGTTTTATAATAGCCTGAGTAGTTCAAATACACTTGCTCAATGGTCAACTATACATATTTTCTCTTAATCTAGGGTTTAATATGAAGGAAGGGAACACTTGGCTGTGGCTGGTAGGAAGTTGTGTTGCTAAGTCAAAGGTGTCACTTCTCTGGTGGTTCCAATCTACTGGTGAAGGAGAAAGCTAAATTGCTTCCCATGTGATTTACAGCCTCCAAAAACCTGCTAGTAAGTCAGCTATGAGTCAATTCTGATTGGATGGCAATGAGAGTTGATTTTGTGAATTCCCTCCCAATGTAAGAGTTTAATGTATGCACATATGTACTTTTCCCAGTGTTGTTGTTAAGTGCTGTCGAGTCATAGATAACTCATAGTGACCCTAAGAATGAAAGACCTGAGCACCGTTCATAGTTTCCAGAGGCAAGCCATTTTGGGAATGGATGCCACTCCTGCTTCCAAGCTTGTTTTAGTCAGGAAGCTACCAAACACTGTCCAATGTGGTTAACCATTATCACAATAGGCACATGAGTGTCACAGTGTTTAGCATCATAGCACCCACGAGTTACCTTTGTACAGCAGTGCACAGACCAGTGCTATACCACCTAGAAGAATGTTTGCCAGAAAAACAACTTAAAACAGGCCTGAGGGCTGCGGATTAAAATCACCCACCTTGAGCTTGGTAGCATAAATTTCTGTCCATGAGGCCAACATATCTCTCTCTCTATAAAAGTTTTCCAGTACAAGTTTATAAATTTTATAATAATCAAATTATACAGCCGGGGACTTAGTGATAAGGAGTTGCACTGTTATGCCAAAGTCACACAGTTTGGATCCACCAGCTGCTCCACAGGCAAAAGATGGACAAGCTCTTATGAGATTTACTGCCTCTGAAAACTTGCTGAAGGGTCAGCTATGAGTTGCTTTCAACTCAACAGTACTCAACAACAGCACATATGTATGATTTGTAGAGATGCATATATACACACAGACATATACCTCAACAAACATGCACATGTATGTGCACCCCTTCCAACTGTTATTCACATCCAAAGATTGAACTGCTGAGCAGGTGTATTAGTTAAGACAAATTCTGACATATTTTTAATCATATGTGATAAAAAAACCATCTATTAATCAAGTAAACAACTAAGTGTTTAATATGTATCTAGAACAATGGTAGATCTTCAGGTATAAAGATAAATCATACAGGCTTTGGAATCTTAAGTAGTTATCTGGGTTAGATGTTAGCAGCTCACAAAACAGAACAGATTTCTATCTGTTGTTGTTACATGCCATCAAGGTGCTGGTGACCCATAGTGACCCTATAGTACAGCAGCTCAAAACCCTGCCCTGCCCTGAGCCAGGCTCATTAATTCTGATACACCAACCCTTCTTGCAATCAGTTTCATCTAGTGTCTTGCTCTCATAGTAACTCTTTTAAAAATAAAAGTATATGGTAAATTTTTTGGATGTTAAGAAAGAAAGATAAAACTACTGTATTATCTATGTGTTAGAAGTATTAGGGTGGAATATTTGTTGTTCTTTCTTGGTTTGTGCTCCTTGAATTTCTCTTTCACTAATCATCCAAAATTGGGTAGTCTCTTATTGGATAGATCATGATAATGGTACCTTGGTTATACAGTTGCTTGGGTCGCTTGACTTCCTGTGGTTGTGGTTAACTGCTGCCACACAAGTCTTCCTGCTAGTGTCCCGTTCTTAGGAGAATCTGACATTGATTTTCGCTTATCGTGATCTGTGTGAAATCTTGGCTTAAAATGTGTCACTTTATGTTAGCTCAAAGTCAGACTGATTTCATTGTTTCTCTGGAGACTAATCTACATGACAAACATTTTTTCTCAACAACTTTATTGTACTGATATTTGCTTAAGGTCATTTTACATGATTTTAGACACAATCGTGTTGCTGATATTCTTCACATATGATTAGTCCAAAATAGCTTGAGTAAATTATCCTACTAATAAAGCTAAAATGACTTTTTTTTCTTTTCCGTCTAGATCTTATTTTTTTGGAATGGGTTTTGTGTACTTACATGCAAACTAGATTTCTCATGCTTTTATCTTTCTTGGGAAGCAAAAGAAATGTTAAAGGATTGGTACATTTGCAATTATAATGACCATGCTCATCTGGAGCTGCTTCTTTCATATGTTGCATAATTTGGGGCATTGTATTAACTGGTAACTTTGAGAAATGCAGAAGTTATTTCACCCTCCACTGTATGTTGTTGTTGTTGTTATGTACCAGAAGGTTTGCAGAGGGAGTAAATCCAACTGGTGGATTCAAACCTTGGTTGCTAGCCCAGCTCCTTACCACTGGGAAATCCGAGCTTCTTAAGTTTGCATAGTGATAGATTTTTGTGCTACTCTATATATGTTTTATAAATTTTATTTAATTAAAAAAACCCTTTTCAGATTATTTTCTGCCTATAATTTAACAGCTCTGTCCCTGGAGTGAGGCTAGCCAGCCTGGGCCTAGGGTTTGAACCAGGAGGCGGCCTTAAGCCGAAGGAAGCTGAAGGTGGGTGATTGTCATCTGTGGCCCTCGGCCAGGTTCAAATTGTCTTCCTGTCAATCATTCTTCTAGGTGGTATAGCACTGGTCTGTGCTTTGCTGTACAGAGGTAACTCGTGGTTGCTGTGATGCTGAAGCCTGTGACAGTGATGTGCCAATCATGGTAATGGGCACCCATGGTGGACAGTGTTGGCTGGAGCTTCCCGACTAAATCAAGCCTGGAAGCAGGAGCAGCATCCACTTCCAAAATGGCTTGCCTCCGGAAACTCTATGGACGAACAGTGCTCAGGCTGTTCGTTCGTAGGGTCGCTATGAGTCGTCTACGACTCGACGGCATTAAAACAACAACAACAACAACAACAACATAATTAAACATTCCTCTGTTTTCCTAATATTTCATGTTTGCTTTAAATATGTTTTGGTTACATATTTTAATATGTAATATAAATTATACAAACTATTAATCAGAAATTATTCAGAAACTGAGAGATAGTGTTAGATTCCGTGTAGTTTTCCAACTCCCTGAGATCTCCTGTGACAAATTAGAACTGACTTGCAGGGGATTTTTTTTCCTGATTTAATTTTTGATTTTTGTTTTGTTTTGTTTTTTTCATTTGATTATGTTTTTTTTTTTTTGTTTT